TTTTTTTTTTTTTTTTTTTTTTTTGTTTTTTTTTTTTTTTTTTTGCTGCATTCATTCTTTTTTTCTTTCTCGTCTTAGTTTTTTTTTTCCTACAGCGCGCACCGAAACCTTGGAGGGAATTATGAATAACCGTCAATACGTATATACGGGTGTCCCAGGTTCATAAGGACAAACTTTGAGCTAGAGGACATCATGAGGATTCAGATTTGCATAACAACCCACGGTCGGTAACCTTTTCGTTCGCCGCTAGGTGGCGTTGTTCACAAGAGCATTTATGGAAACAGGCCTGCTTTGCCGCAGTCATTTGAGCTGTCATCGAAAACAGAGAAGCATGGAACGTTTTACAAACCCCGAGCTGGCAGATATGCACTTGATTTACGGATTGGCAGAATGAAATGCACGATCAACAGAGATTGTATCGAAAAGGTACCCAAAGAGCAATGCATCGGATAAAAAAATGCCGCCACTGTATTCTATGTACGTATAATCTCACTCGTGTTTACCCAAAACGGTAAGCCTTATGAAAGTGAAGCAAGGTCATTTGGGTTTCTTGGGGTTGTAGCCCCTGTATTTACCTAAAAAAAGGAAGGCCGTAAAGAAGCGAATTAAGATTGGAATAAATCTTTCAGAAAATTTTATGCATAAATTTAAAATATCTGTGTGTGCTTTTTTTTTCAACATAATTTTTTAAAAATGAAATATAATAAAGAATATGTACCACATTCGCAGAGGTACTATGTAGCATATATGTATGTTCGAGAGAGCTTCTATAAAATTTTAAAAAATGATTTTTAACACTTAGTTTAGTTTTCAGGCTTTAAAAAACACGGGTGTTCTTGGAAATGAGAGAGCCGATGGTCTTGCAAAGGCTGCCACCACGCGCAAAAATGACACTACCGTTAATATTCCTAATTCCTGTTACAAGAAGATTATAAAAGAAAGAATGATGAAGTCTTAGAATCAAGAATATCTAATTTCTAATCAAGGGAGCTTAACACAGATTTTTCCTCAAACCAGTAATAAGAGACTGACATACCATCATTTTTATACCAATTACAAAAAAATACTCACTGGCCATCATAACTTTAAAAGCTATTTGAACAAAAAAAAATTTAGTTGAATTCCGTCATCTTCCTTAAAATTGTAATTTTGTGGCGAGGAAAATGTAGAACATGTACTCCTTCTGTGTTCCAAGTTGGTCCGAGAAAGTGTCTCTCAAGGGACTTAATATAAATTGTGCCTCCGATCTTTCGCCAACTTTTTCCTCCAGAAGTGCTTATGGAAAGTTCTGTAAATTTATTGCAAATATTTGTATTCCTTCATGACTTTAATTTTTTCTTTCATTTATAATGATTGTTTCATATTACTTACTTCTGTAAGTCCAGTGGGATACTTTAAAGTGCAAAGGGATTTATGAAGGTTTTCAATAAAAAAATTAGACTCCAAAAAAGAAATGAAATAAAATTACACATATCTCAAAAAATACTTCCTGATCGATATAAAAGTCAAAGTATTTTCCATAGGAACATTTGTTCGACAACACTTAAAATAAGAATAGAAATTTGTTGTTGATGTTTTTTAAATTTAAGTACAACAGACTAATACGAGTGAGTGTTTATTTAGGTCGAACTATAAAGTAAAACGAGGATTCTTGGTAACGGATCTTGTAATTTTGAACCCCGGTCAATTGATGAGGATGATCCACCCCCTCTCCAAACTACCACACCACGTCAACGAGAGAAGTTTGAGCTACAATAAATTTAACGTGAATCAGCTCCTCTATACGGCGGATCTTTTGTATAACAAGAGCTCGAACTCATGTCACGCCAGCTAAGAGTACGAGATCATGAACACTAGGCTATCAAGGCTACAGCCAAATACGACATTGATCTAGTTATATCTAGAGTCAACAAATAACACAGTCGTTCAGCCGGTATAGTGGCTAGCGACGCTGACTGCAGTGACTTTAGGTCTGGGATCGAATCCCGGACAACGCTCGGATATTTGTAAATGTATAGTGCCTTTGTGGCATAGGGGTACTCTAATTAGTCGTTGAGCCGCAAATCCTCTCATGAGGTCGGTGAAAGGAGCGTTTGGAGGCCCAGACCATTCCTAGGGTATTCTCCCACAAAATTGCGGTGGAACAGAGCCAAAACGTACTTTCACCTGCATAGTACTCGCTACGGCTAATGACAGGGGTGCCCTTTGCAGCGATGAATTTCGTCGTGGGTCTCGATCTGACATCATCAAACAGGTGGCATTAGTAAAAACGTAACACAAATCACACATCAGAATTATAAATTTCAACTACAGTAATATAAAAAAAATATCGTAGAATGTACCCATGCAAAATTGCAATAAATAAATAAATAAATAAAAACATATTTTTACGAGTCTTTTTTAAAAGTGACTTCTTATAATAGCCTCCTGTTTGGCCATGACATAAAGATGGCAACCTTTTCAAAACAATGACACGGCTCATTGAGACTTCACGTCAAGGAATAGCTTTGTTTCATTCGAAATATTTTTTCGATTCCTACTATTAGTTCACACTCTCCGTGTATATATATATATATGTAGTGTCGTTGGCCGAAGTTGTTTGTTTGGGGTTGTAGTCATATCTGATTTCAGGTAAAACATCTTCCGAATTAACTTTCAACTTGTTTATTTACACGCACATAACGTTGGTGGACAATTCATAGTTGTATTTTCACAGATGTTGGTAAGAACACGAAAATAGACACATATAACAGAAGCGACAAGCAGCAGCCACATTTCACATGACGAACACAAAGACAAGAGTGATCGCAAGAGATTTTCCCTTTATATACCCGGCAGTGAAGACCGCGTGACTATTTTGTAATAAGAGCTCTGATTGGTTAAAAGGGGCAGGAAAGGGATTTCTGATACTAGTTGATCACGATTAAGATTAGGGCGTTAGTTTTGAACCAAAGAATTAAAATTTGTTTAAATATTATTAAAAAGAG